AGTGATCTGCCGCCTCAGCCTCCCAAAACGGCGGATCACGAGGGGGGTCAGGGAGATATAGACCATAGTATACCCGTGTTCTACTAAGAAATAACAAAAAATTAAGCCCAGCGCGCGGGTGGCGGGCGCCTGTAGGCCCAGCGTGCTTGGGAAAGGCTAGAGAGAGAATGGCGGTGAACCCGAGCGAGTGCCTTGACCTCAGGAGTTCAAGACCAACCTGGGCAACATGGTGAAACCCTATTTCTACCAAAAATACAAAAAATTAGCTGGTTATGGCGGTGTATGCCTGTGGTCCCACTACTTAGGAGGCTGAGGTGGGAGGATACTTGAGCCTGGAAGGCAGAGGTTGCAATGAGCTGTAATTGCACTGCTACACTCCAACCTGCGTGGCAGAGTGAGACCCCATCTCAAAAAAAAAAAAAAAGACATCATAGTTACCATACAATAATATTATATTATACCATGTTAAAGCACTTCATAATTTTACGGTAGTATTGTTTTTACTGTTATTTATGCTAGCACTGCTACTGCTGCTATTGATAACTGTTACTGAAGGCTCACTGTGTGCCAGTATTTGTACTAATTGTTTGTATACCCTGTCTTATTTTATTTGCAATAACCCTGTGTGATAGTTTGTATTAGTAGATCTGTTTTGTGGGTAAGGAAACTGAGCCTTAGAGAGGTCAGACGCTTGCCCAAGAGTTCTAGCCATCAGTAGTGAAGGCAGATGCATTGAACCACGCTTCCAATTCCAGAGTCTGAGTTCTTTTTTTTTTTTTTTTTTTTTTTGAGATGTGCAATTCCAGAGTCTGAATTCTTTTTTTTTTTATTTTTTATTTTATTTTGAGACGGAGTTTCACCCTGTCGCCAGGCTGGATGGAGAGCAGTGGTGCGATCTTGGTTCACTGCAACCTCTGCCTCCCGGGTTCAAGCGATTCTCCTGCTCAGCCTCCTGAGTAGCTGGGATTACAGATGTGTGCCACCACGCCCAGCTAATTTTTGAATTTTTAGTAGAGACAGGGTTTCACTATGTTGGACTAAAAAATTTAATATATCACAAGATTCAGACTCATAGACAATTGCACATTCGTTCATGAAAATACAAAAAAAAAATATAAAAGAACTCAGACTCTGGTAAATCTAGGGAAGCGTGGTCAATGCAATCATGCCAATTTCACTTGTAGTTGATGGTGCTTAGAAAAACTCTATTGAGGCAGCGGATACTGAAAACAATCTCTGGGAAAGGCTCAAGTTTCCTTACACATCATTAAACCAGTCATGACTTAAATCACAAACTAATGCACACAGGGTTATGCTCATAGATAAAATAGACCAGGTTGAGTAATCTGTTTTTCCTTTTATACCAAACAATTAGTACAAATCTGGCACAGCGTGAGCCTTCAGTAACAGTATCAATAGCACAGTAGCCAGTGCTAGCATAAATAACAGTAAAAACAATACTACTTCGTCTAATATAGTTGACTGAACCGTCTGACTATTAACTCATGTATAAAATATATTATAATGAAAACGATAATGTATGGGAATAACTAATGGATGTCGTTGATTTTTTATATTGTGGTGAGATGGCAAATCGTGTGGGGGGTGCGGTCACTCTGAACCACGACAGAGGGTTGGAGCAATATAGCAAGATGCCAATTACAGATCATGTTCACCTCTGCGCTGTGTCCAGCTCAAGTTATCCTCCCATCCTCAGCCTACCTAAGTACAGTATGGAAACCACAACGAGGGGATGAGCGTGCCGCCGGCAACTAACCTAAAGACTAATTTTTTTGATAAGTCTCAGTGGTGGTACGAAATGTGTGAGGAGTGGATTTTACACCATGTGGCCTGTTCTCCTAGGGGTCTGGTCATTAAATCACTTGCCTGGAGGTCAGAGAGTTGATCCCTTGTCACGGGCTCTGGCCCTCCCACAAGCAGCTCGGTCACTGAGCTGAAGGGCCCCCTAACAGCTACTGGGGGTCAGGAATTCCATGATTATATGAGGAGTATGTGGGAAACACCCTGTTTACTAAAAATACAAAAAAGATTAGCTTCAGGTCATGCGAGACTGAATGGAGCTTGAGGCGACCTGGTGGGGAATACCCAAGCTGACTTGGCAGAGCGAACTGAATGGCGTCCACGTCCCCTTTGGGGAGAATGGCTCGGGGTGAAACCCGG